CTGGTTACAAATGTCTACCCAACAACTCCTCACTGGTTACCAATGTCTACCCAACAACTCCTCACTGGTTACCAATGTCTACCCAACACCTCCTCACTGGTTACAAATGTCTATCCAACACCCCATCACTGGTTACAAATATCTATCCAACATCTCATCACTGGTTACTAATGTCTACCCAACACCTCATCACTGGTTACAAACGTCTATCCAACACCCCATCACTGGTTACAAATATCTATCTAACACCTCACTGGTTACAAATGTCTACCCAACACCTCATCACTGGTTACCAATGTCTACCCAACACGTCCTTCCTTGGTACAAATGTCTATCGACTTTCTATAATTTACACACACTCTTACAGTAATGTCTGAAGTCGTCTCATGACCCCTCAGATATATCTTGTGACCCCCAGGATGAGAAACAACCGTCTAAAGTAGAATGCACGATTATTATCGCAATAATGGGAAATTTATATTATGTATTAAATTATTCCAATAAATAAATTACAGCTAATTAATTATGTTTAATTCTTATGACAGTGTCTCAAACTTTGTTTTATGAATGCCAAAGTATGTTGATGAAGTTGTTTATGAAACAAATTAACATTTGAAGAGTCAGATTGTTTGTTGTTAACAAGAGCTGTTAGCTCAGAGCTGTGGAATATTAATCTCATCCTTTATTACCCTCAGGTGAGCATAAACTACAGTTTATCAACTTCTTTTTAAAATACAAAAATGTGACATTATCAGTTGTTGGTATCAAGTCATGAGAAGCAGGTAATTATTGGTTATTGTATCAGTATCAGGTCAAGAGAAGCAGCAACCAATAATTGGTTATTGTACTGAATGAAAACAATCGGTGCAACTCTAAAGTAAAGGCACAGAGATACAGATGAACAGAAAGATTTTCTCAGGTTCAGTATTTGAACTTAAGAATTTATCGTGCAGATGCTGCTCTGCTGGTGACCTGATGATGTCACATCCTGCTGCCCTCAAGGACCGGAGGCCAATCTGGGCCATCCCGGGATAACAAACACACATTACAGTTAAAGAGGTAAGAATAGACCTTTTCCAGCATGCTTTTTGACAGAAATAGTAAACACAGGAGCTACCCCTGAGACTAATGATCTCTACACTCATACAATTATATTAATATTAATGCTGTATGGTTGAGCTCAGTCTTTATACACTCATGAAACCGCAGGACTGATGGAAAGCAGCAGGCTGTGGTGGACTGTGGGATACTCTGAGCTGATTATAGTACAGGTGTATTGATCAGGTGTGTTGATCGGGTGTCTTACCTTTGCGAACTGGATGGCAAAGATCTTCTTGTATTTGAGGTCCATCAGGAGGCTGTTCATCAGCAGCTGGTGGTAGATGTTCCTCGCTCCTACAGACAGAGAGACACAGACAGCATCACTGAATTAGTTTACTGTTTATGTTCAGCAGGAAGCATATACATCTATCAGCCATAACATTATGAGCACTGCCAGTGGATAACACTGATTATCTGGTTATCAGGGCTCCTGTCAGTGGGGGGTATATATCAGGCAGCAAGTGAACATTTGGTCCTCAGAGTTGATGACGACTAGGTCAAAACATCTCCAAACCTGCAGCTCTTGTGGGGTGTCTGTCTGCAGAGGTCAGTACCTATTAAAAGTGGTCCAAGGAAGTAACAGAACCAGAGACAGGAGGGAGGGCTGAGGCTCATTGATGCACATGGGGAGTGAAGGCTGGCCCGTGTGGTCCGATTCAACAGACGAGCTACTGTAGCTCAAACTACTGAAACAGTTAATGCTGGTTTTTATAGAAAGGGGTCAGAACACACAGTGCAGAGCCATACTGACCCCTGTCCACTGTCCACCTACAATGTGAGCATCAGAACTGGACCATGGAGCAATGGAAGAAGGTAGCTCGGTTTGATGAATCACATTTTCTTTTACATCTTGTGGATGGTG